AAAAAAAAAAAAAAAAAAAACTAACCAGCAAATGACAGTGGAGTTTTGTTTGTTTGTTTCACAGGCTTTGGCTCAAGTGGCATGGATTATGGCATGGTGGGAGGGAAAGAGGCTGGAACAGAATCCCGCTTTAAGCAGTGGACTATGATGGAAGGGCTGCCCTCTGTGGCTTCACAAGATGCCAATATGCACAAAAATGGTGAGAAGGGGAATTTTGGGAATGCCCTTGTAGGATCATCTTGCCTGAGATGAAATAGCTTAGATGAAACTATGTCTTGCCTCACCAGGATGTGTCCTAAATATTTTTGTTTTCGTGTATCGTACTCCTAAAGATCCCAATCTTTCCCAAGTGTAAATGTGTGTTTTTAATGCGTCAGGTGCAATAGTGCCCCCTGGAAAGACTCGTGGAGGATCGCCCTACAACCAGTTTGACATTATCCAGAGCGACCCACTCAGCAGCCATGCAGGCCCTGCTGGTGATAGTTGGTTACCTGCCAAATCTCCACCAACAAACAAGATCGGAAGTAAATCCAGCAATGCCAGCTGGCCTCCAGGTATTACATAAGGGCAGGGGTTATGTCTTTGCTTTAGGGTAGATGTGTTGGACCTCACCATACTTACTTAAATAACCACTGCAAAGAAAATAGTTGTGTGGCTTGACCTATCTTGTTTTTGAAATTTCTTCCATATTAAGTTAGAACGTTAGCATTGAATTTCCAGTAAAAAAAAAACTCCGGGCTAAATAGGAACTAATGGCTGAACTGCCTGAAAAGTTTGGATTTTGTTGGGTGAACTCATATCATCTGTGGTTTTGTGAGTGTACATTCACAGAAATTTTCTTGAAAACATGTTTTCATAGAATACCCAACACCATCTCCCTTCTTTTGTATTGATTCCTTATTTGTGCTGTGTTAGGCTCACACAGAGTGTAAAATTCTTATTATTGATAGTGTGGAATAAGAAAGAAAAAGATGTGAAGTAACAGGTTTTTTTGTGATAATGGAAACACCATGCTGCTGTGGTTCACCTCTGTTCATGTTGCATAAAGGCTGTTGCAAAGCTTCAGTCATGATAAGGAATCTTGTGGATTGAGTAGAAGTCTCTTGCTTTTGGAATGACAGTCTGTTGCACATTTTTTAAGTTTCTTAGTTTCGCTGGCAGAATTTTGTTTCTGCTAGAGAACTTTCTAGGAAAAGTATGTATTTATTTGAATACGCACACAGTTTTCTATATAAAACATTCATTTAAACACAGTGGTGTCTTTGAATTTGCGCAGATTAATCCCTGATGCTCTTCAGCCAATAGTGGATGCYGTGATTTTTCTCTGGTCTGGAAGATTGTTCCATTCCAGGAAAACGTTACTAATTGCAAACTCTCTRCTGTGTATCCCCTCAAGCACAAAAAAAATAAAAGTCCAAGTATATCCCTTGGATAAAGCAGTACCACTTTGCATCAGAAAGCTTACGAATCTGTGTGACACATACAACTGCAGGAAATCCAGAAAATGTAGTTGAAGGTTTTTGTGCAGGAAGTCCTCAGTGTCTAACTCCAGCAAATACCACCTGATGAGCTAACAGACTTAAAGAATTAGTTATCTCAAAAACATCTGCACATCCACAAGTTTTCCTTCTGCTCACTGGTCTCTGTACAGGTGTATTTGTGTTATACTTCTGTCAGCCTGGTTGTTAAATACAAAGATTTTTTTTGGATTGGAGTTGCTGTTCTTAATGCTAGAAACTCCCAAAATGTGATCTTTTAYCAGACCTCTTTCACAGACTCATTGTTGCTGAACTTGTTCCCTTAGTCACCATTCTCCAATGAAATAATAATAAGCAGTGCCACTTGAAATGTTATGAGAGATCTGTGAGGACCAGCTCTGCTGTGTTTCCAAGTTTTTGAGCAGCCACTCGCTTTGGCCTGATTCTTGGTACCAAAACTGTTACAGAAGTGAAGAACTGGATGGCTACACTTTGCCTCTTGTTGATACTGTAGAGCTTCTTTAGTGATACCTGCAGTTCCATTGCCAGTGACAAGTAAATTTTTTTGTTGCTGACTGCCACACCACAGTGAGACAGTAAGTGAAGTTCACAAATTCTTAGCATAGACTTCCACTGAGATCCTCAGTAGCATCACTAATTTCTTGTGCCAGTAGCCCAAGACTATGATTGCAGGTGTCATGTAACAGATCCTGGGTTTTGGTTTTATTCAGTTATTTCTCTATTGCTGTTCCATTCTTGCGAGATCCATAGGCTGCTGGGACAAGTTCCAGTGGTTCTATAACCATCAGGCAATTGAGCTATCTCATAGTCTGTCTACCTTATGGACTTCATTGAGAGGGAAAACTGATACCATGATCTACCTTATCAACACCACTGATGAAGAATGAAGACCTGAAATGACTATACATTCTAGGTCCTTCTCTACATGCTTGTAGTTGGTGTCCGCCATGTTCCTGGCATGGAGGTAGAATTCTTCCTCCAGTGTTGGAAAACAAGATAACAAAAATGAGTTTACAAGAGAAAACCTCTTGAAATAGGTGCCTTTTTCCTTTGAATGAAAATAGTGATCACTCGGCATTCACCCTGACTACACCTTTCGCGTTTTCCTCCTAAATGCCATCCGCTGCAGAAATTCTGCCGTTCAAGAGAGCAGTATTGTTCAGCACAAAGATAAATGAAGTGGTGCACAATCAAACTGATATCACAGCTGGAGGTGAGAGCAAGTTTTGCTGCATTKGTGAGAACTATGTCTTTTGGTTATGTTGCAGACTTGCATACTTAGGTAATACTAGACTGTAATTTTCCCATTCAAGATCAGACATGCTTCAGGCAAACTGGCCTGGATGGGTCTGTCATGGTTTTCACAATAATCTCATGTTTGAATTTCTTGAGCGGATCTTTCACATATCATGTCTTTTTTTCTGTCTAGAAATAAAAGAGCATGTCTGTAGACAAGGACCGGTGAATGTGCATGATAATAACTATCAGCCCCAAAGGAAAGTTTGGAAATTTGTCAGTATACTGAAGTTCAAGGAAATGCTTTTTCAGACCAGGGTTACRTTGATGAGTGAATGTGTTCATAAGCAATAATATGCCTGATCCTTGGAGCCTTGTTTGTATATTCATTAACCTTTTTATTAGAACTTTCTGTGCACTCAGCTTTCAGTCTCACCAATTCTCAGAATCTTTACAGATAGTAAACTTGGACCTTTTTTTTTCTCTCCAAACAAGTTCTGATTTCCAGGTTCTAATCTATGTTCATGGTTTCTTTGTCTCAGAAGAAAGGTTTTTTGAGTAGACTGTCAGCTGTATTGCTTTTTCCTTAATGAGGTGGTCCTGATTGTCAGGGGGTGGCAGTATTTTGGCCATAGCTGAGCAGAGCCCTTCCTTGGTGCAGTGTTGATTGCTCATAGTGTTAGAAGTATATCTGGATTCTTTTGTTGAGTTACTAAAGATTGGGAGTTGTCAGTGCCTTCATGACTTTATATATCAGTGAACAAGCTTAATTCAGAATTGTAATTCTGTGACTCTTGCAATGCTGGAATCATGATGCAAATACTGAAATTAAGAGGACATAAAATTTTAAATAGATGGGAGCTTTCTTTCTGTCAGGAGTGGTGAACTTCTGGGTTKTGTTGCTTTCAGAGCTTCTTGAGACATGATACTAGCCAATTGAAACAGTGATTGAATAAACTGATGGAAAAACAATTTCACAAGCTTGTGCTAGCAGATAGTGGGTATGTCTGTCATCTTAGGATGATTGTGGATACTGGGAGAGTGTGAGGCCAGTAGTCCCCAGATCATGGCCAGGTTTGTGTTCTGTCCCTTACCAGTATATCTCCTACTACTGTTAGCAAAATACTGGAATAGATGGACCACAGTTCTGATCCCGGGGATTATTTCTTTTGTCTTGTCTCAGATTCTCCCATGCATTATCCCYGTCTAAAACTGCCCTTTTTGTGGCAATTGCTTGAACAAGTGCTGTGATATTTTCTTCTCTAATTGTCTGTGATAGTCATAGTTGATTGTACTTCTTCATTACAAAGGTTACTGAAATGAACCTTTCCATGCTGGATTTGTCCTACATGGCTTCATTCTAGACAGCATATCTTGGATCCTGCTTTTAATAATGGATCTTTAATTATGCTCAAATATTCTATTATTTCAGAAATTTGGGTTGGGAATTCTGTATCCTGGACTTGTATCTGCAAGGGATGATTCTGCCACCTTGGCATTCTTCTCACGAATTGTCATATAGTATATGAAGCTTCTTTACTTGTTTTTGTGTTTGTCAGTTTTACTTTTTCACCACTGTTTCCAGAACTCACCACAGCACTTTATTCATTGAAGGAACTGAGTTACTGATCTTTCTTGCAGTAACTGGAGTCTTTGTGTGTCCATATTTAATATAATTCATCCTGTTGTCTTGAAATTCTGGCATGTCTGGAGCTATAGTTGAAACTAAAGCATGATAAGTATATCCCATCTCATTGTGAAGCATGAAGAATGTCAATGAGTGTATACATTACTTTAACCACAAGGCATCTCACCTCAGTATTGATAGGTAATGTATAAAGTGTCTGTGTGTGTACCTACAGTGTGAGGTGTGAAATGTGTTAACAGAATCCTAAGGTAGGTGGCCTTTCCTTGAGAAGGGCTTCTGTACACACACACAAAGTATTTGTACAGAATCAAAACCTAGTATCTTACATAGGATGCATTTAAACTATTGAAACCTCATCTGAATGTATCAAAGCAGAAGCACTTAAAGGGATACTGGATGCACTTGTACCAGTTTTGTTGTAGTGTAGAATTGTATTCAGACATTAGAGCTAGTGCTGTGGGAGGAATTGTGAAATAGGTTACAATTCTAAAATTTTTCCCATGTGGAACAATATGGAAGACAATTGTTTGCCCTCCCAAAATACCTTCAGCACTTACTTCTGGTAAATGACGTTTCCCTGATTGCATCTAATTCCTTTTTCTCTCCTGTTCCAGAGTTCCAACCAGGAGTGCCATGGAAAGGTATACAAAACATTGACCCTGAATCTGACCCCTATGTGACCCCTGGAAGTGTGCTGGGGGGGACAGCCACATCTCCCATTGTAGATACTGACCACCAACTTCTGCGGGACAACACCACAGGTAAAACAGTKAACAGCTGGTCTGTGATTTATTAAACTCGCTCTGATACTTGGGATTATTGTGATGTTCCAGTTGTAGCAGGCGAACAGTCTGTTGCATTTGCCTGAGAAGGAATGTGTGTGCCTTTGCACTGTGGCTGCAATCACATGAAAGCCTGGCATTGATACACTTGTGGCTTCCTTGAAGTTCAACAGTGTTACAGAAACTCCATGAACTTGGTCTACTCTTTCTCTGTTCTTTTGATAGGGTCTAATTCTTCCCTCAACACCTCGCTGCCTTCACCTGGTGCCTGGCCCTACAGTGCCTCTGACAATTCCTTCACCAACGTTCATAGCACTTCAGGTATGCAGGCTCTGAAATTTACCCAGGCAAAGCATTTTTCACTTAGCAGCTCATGGTTTTTCCATATGGAGTATTTAGTTCTTCATGTGTAATGGTGACTTGGGAAGACAAACACCATAACTCTGAACCCCCTCCCTCTTCTTCCCCCAGCCTTTATATGCTGAGCACGACTCCATATGGTATGGAATATCGCTTTGCACAGTTGGGGCCAGCTGTCCTGGCTGTGTGTCCTCCCAACTTCTAGTGCACCCCCTTCCCTCCTGCTGGTAGAGGATATGAGAAAAAGAAATRGTCTTGATGTTATGTAAGCACTACTCAGCGGTATAACTAAATCATCTGCATTATCAACTGTTTCCAGCACTAATCCAAAACACAGCCCCATATGAGGTACTATGGAGAAAATTGATRGTACCCCAGCCAAAACCAGCATATTATGCAAGTTAAAGAATAGAGCAGTAGGAACCAGAGGTGCAAAAAGGAAGATAAAACAGTATATGTACAATCTGTTGACATCATAATTTTTAAAATRTACATGCTTTTAAATGTATTAATAAGGTGAATGACCTAATTTTAACTTTAGAACATGAGAGTGTTGTGAAGGGMATTTTTTTGCCTTGTCTTTTATGGCACTCATCATTCCTTGAAATCTGGACAGAGAAAGGACTTTAGTTCTCTGGCTTTTGGTGGTTGCCCTGTAAATATAAACTTAAATATCTGTTTCAGTTCCTTCGTAAGAAGGTCTCCAAAGCTTTCTGGTAAAAAACTGTTTCTGCACAGACTTCTGAGTAAAATGCTGGAAATAGTTGCACCAGATGAACCATTTGAATTTTAAGCTTCTTGCAAATGTCAGAGTTTTTTCTTCAAGACATTGTCTTGGTAATTACTTGAAAATGAAGAATTGCATATGAATAGGAGAGGTGATGAATAGAGCTRAGAGCTACATCTGACCTGAATTTTGGGTTTTTGTCATCATACCGAATAAAAGCTGTGTTTAAGTGTTACCTCAGCATCTTCACAAAATGTGTTGAAAATACTCTTTAGTCCTTAAGAAAAACTGAGTTCCTGCCACCAGTTTGTGAGGTTACTTTGGTTTGAAGCAGTATCTGTGTATGCGGCATTTTAGTGACACAGAAGATTCCTCTGTTACAGCCTGAGGAAAGGAGTGGCACATAGCCCCTTCTTGCCTTTGCTTAATTTTTGTCTAGACCTAAGAAATAAAAAAAAAACAACAACTAAAGTCATAGTGGAATTGAGGAAATGAGACCACTGCCACATACCAACTTCTCTTCATCTACTTAGACACGAGTGTTTTACAGTCAGAAAGCAGATCATCTGAGCTGGGGATTTAGAATTCACCTGTCTCCAAATTAGAGTCTAGTGAAAGCAGGGTTTTAAGCGCTTCCATACACTTTCAGAGGTTAGTGCTTAAAACATGCTTCTAGTGACTGTTACTGTGTCATGAAGAGAGAGAGATCGAKCTGTAAATCAAAGCATGCTTATACATGCTGAAAGCTTTATGGTCTTGCTTTCCAGATGTGTTATTTTATGAGGTACTGTCATATTGTAAATCTGTATTTTTTTCACTTTGTTTCAAATCAGTAATCCCCCACTGCCTGCTGGTGACTGGAATTAAATTCATATATTTGCACACACATACATGAGAGTTATGATTAAGATAAAGTCTGACACACCTTTTTCTCCCAGATCACCATGCCTGTGTTGGCTGGTTCTCATTGCAGAACACTGAGGAATTTTTGAGGAGTTTTGACTTTTGAAATGTCCCTTGGTGTCAGAAGTTGTGGGAGAACTTGTGATCTGCCTTTAAAAAAAAAAAAAAAAAAAAAAAAAGGTTTAGGCAGAGCTCCACAATATTCATGACCAATAGTGGTGTTTTGAGGAGTGTTTCAAAGTCCAGCTGTCCACAGCTAAGTAACCTTCTTTGTGTGTTACTTTTGTATCAACACTGCGAGATTTGTGATTCATGAGAAAGTTTTAATCTTGCATGGAGGAYATCTTTAGGAGATAACATTAGCTTAGTAGACCAAGAATGGTAAATACTCCTTTCATTCTCTGCAATTTTTTTTACTTGAAGAAGGTTCAGTTTCATTAAAGTTCACTAATGCCCAAACTTGTAAGAAATTCTCAGGTTCTCAGATGAAATGTAGTGTGGATATAAAAGTTGTTGTTCATCTAATTAATGATGGAACATACTGCATTCAGCTATATTATCACAAATAACCTTGGTATATTATTTCTTRTCAGCAAATATAAAATAAGAAAAGATTAACTAAAGGTTTTTTTTGGCATGAGAACTATTATATGGTTCTGTGCTTCATGCTTTTCTCCAATATAAATGCAGTCAAAAGGTTTACTTTGATAAGACAGGTAATTTTAATCTCACAAGTTTCTCTAATACATGGAATTTCTTTAATCTTCTAGCAAAATTCAGTGATTACAAATCAACATGGTCCCCAGATCCCATAGGACACAATCCCACTCATCTCTCCAACAAGATGTGGAAAAACCATATTTCCTCAAGGAACACTACAGGGCTGCCCCGCCCACCTCCTGGCCTGACCAACCCCAAACCATCATCTCCATGGAACAGCACAGCACCCCGATCGGTCAGGGGCTGGGGGGCACAGGACTCAAGGCTTGGCTCTGGTGAGAACAATCAGCTGGTAACACCCCCGATCAGACCTGATCAGTGTGTTTTACAGCACCAGTGGTTTGGAGGAAAGAAAGTTGCAGTTGTCTGGTAAAAGGAAAAAAGAGTTCCTTCTTCAAATGGAAATTTACTGTCAGTAATTGGGCAGGTGGGGGGTGGAATCCCAGGTCCTGCTGCAGACAATGAGTGAAGAAGGGCTGAAAGTTACCAGAAGAGAATACCTGCTACATGGGGCCTTTCAAGACTAGATGCTGCTGTGAGTGGGAAACTGCTCAAAAATAAGCTCTACTAAAATGCATCTTGATGTGAAATGTCAGRAAAGGTTTAGCTTTGTTTCCAGGACTGAAGATTTAACAGGGCTGATACTGGTGGTTTTTTTCTGAAAGACATAACTGTAAAGACACACGGTTTTTCTTTTATCAAATCTGTCTTGATTGCTCTGTCTTACAATTTTGCAGCATCTGCATGGAGTGATGGTGGCTCAGTTCGTCCTAGCTACTGGCTGGTTCTTCACAATCTCACTCCACAGGTATTTTCTGTGGTTGTTTCTGGGACCTTGTTTGCTTTAGCGAGGATTTGTGAATTCTTCAGTAGTTTCTCTTTGAATAAAATGAGACAACATCAGATTTGTCAGCATAYGTAACTTATTTCTACTAAGCTGAGCTGCAATCTGACTGGGTTTTCTGTTGTAATCTCCTCAGCTAACTAAGATGTTCAGGTTTTGCTGTGTGACTGTTAAAATATTTCTTAACTTAAGAGTTACAAAAAATTATTGCAGAGATTTTTCTTAGAAGTGAGGGTAAATTTCATTACTATATTGTGAAATGATTTATAGCCGTACTTCAGGATGTTGTCAGTAAGAAATTTGATGTAACTGCCAATTTTCACTTCAGTGTTTCCATAGTGAAACCAGAAAATTTTGCYAGCACTCCTGCCAAAACCAGTCTTGTTAGGTTATTTCTTCAAGTATTCTCAAAGCTTGCTGCCATTCAGAATGAATTCCGTAGAAATCCTGGTTTCAGCATTGCCAATTAGTCCTGTATTCAAGGGCTAGGAAAAGCCTGTATGATTATCAGCAGCACCCTGAGGGCTAGGTAGAGAGTCCTCTGTTCAGCCGGATAATTCACCGTACTTCTCCAGTCAAAAAAAAGGTTGATGTGAAAGGAAAAACGGAGTTCTCCGTCAGATTGCCCCAAACGGTAAACTGTGCTCCTTTCCATAGAAAAGACCGTTTTTCTTTATGTGAACGAAGAAATGGTATGATGAAAAGGCGTAGTTCTAAGTCTGGCTTGTGTAAAGTACTTTAATGCCTCTTTAGAAATTACTTAATTGAAGCATGTATTTTGGAGGCATTTGAGTTAGTAGGAAAGAGAAATGGAACATAATTGTCTCATCACAGATTCTCTTTTTTTTGTGTGCCAGTACACTAGAGGGAAGCGAATGTAAAGGTTCAGAGGGATTCAGATCCATAGAATGGTTAGGCTTGGAAGGAACGCTATGTTCATTTCAAGGTTGTCTGTTTTTACTTTGACCATGTTTGTGACACCACATAATTTCCTTTTCCCTCCTTTGAAGCTGTATTTTAAAATAGGGGGGAAAGAAAAGGAAGAAAGTAACACTTTCTTAAGTAATTTGCGCATACAGATTCCATTCATGGGTGCGCATTCCTGTGGCACTCCAAGAATGGAATCAGTCCGTACAGAGCACCTGGAAGAACAGCTGTTACTGCAAGTAAATAACAAGCTGTTCCTGCTGCAGAAAGAACGTAGGCAACAACTGCTGTGAAAACATTAGTTCAGACAGAACGGACATTGGTGGGTTTGGCAGGAAGATCACTGACTCTTTCTGTGACTGTTTCATAAACTACAAAGAAGCACAAAATAACTTTTTTAGAAATTCATTGTAGAGGTATTTCCAGTTTTGCAGAAACCTTTTAAATACTAGTTTATCTAAATTCTGCTGAAATCAGAGAGCTGGAGACTAAGACATTCTCATTCTCTTGATACAAATTCTGATGACTGAAGATCGTGAGAAGTACAAGTTATATATAGTTAATGGAAAAGCTGCYGATGTAAGGATAGTGACAGTGGAAGAAACTTAGTGACAGAGGGAGGGCTGGACTCATGGTGTATGTGAACAGGAAAGATAGATTAGTYCATTCTAAAGCAAACTCCATGTAATTGTGAGAAGTCAAGGCATCAATTCCTGTTTGAAAAGAAAATTCTGTCACCTTTGCCCATTTCCCACTGCTTTCATTTGTTTTTCTTTCTGAGAGAGAATATCTTTCAATTAGTGTGGCAAAATGAGGATTGAAATATGTTTGGAGAAATAATTACAAACATCTGTTTCATCGTGGCTGTTCTTCCTCAGATTGATGGGTCAACCTTGAGGACGATCTGCATGCAGCATGGCCCACTGCTGACATTCCATCTGAACCTGACCCAGGGCACCGCCCTCATCCGATATAACACCAAACAGGAGGCGGCCAAGGCCCAGACTGCACTGCACATGTAAGCAAGGTTTAGAGGCAAAAAACTTCGGGGGGGTATGAGGGGTTGGTGGTGTAAGCCCCTAAACTCAGTGAAAACTTCAAATTATACTAATTCCKGAATTTCAAAGGCTTTTAACCTGTTCTTCCTCTGTTTTGTTTGAAAGGTGTCACTACGTGCATTTGCCTGCTCTTGGTGGTAATGTTCAGGACCCTAGTTTAAATTTACAGAGATTTTGTTCAGGCATAACTGAATATTGGGGCAAGGGGATTGGAGTGATCTTGCTTTGTTTTGTTTCTTCCCCTTATAAAATGGAAGTTCTTGTGCTTTGAGTGAGTTTCACTGTCAAGAGCAGCTGAAGTTTTCTGTTTCTATTYGATTGTACCAGTGTAGCTGATACCTGCTTTGGGTTAGACAACCTGTTAGTGTTGTTCCTATGCTTTTTGAATCCCATACCTTTTTGCTCCCATTATTCTTTTTTCTTATGTATGTCTTACCTTGTAGGTGTGTGTTGGGAAACACTACCATCCTGGCTGAGTTTGCCACAGATGAGGAGGTTAGTCGCTTTTTGGCACAAGCTCAGCCCCCTACACCTGCAGCAACCCCGAGTGCACCCGCAGCAGGCTGGCAATCCCTGGAGACAGGACAGAACCAGACAGATCCAGTTGGACCTGCTTTGAATCTCTTTGGTGGGTCAACAGGGCTTGGGCAGTGGAGCAGTGGTGGCGGCGGTGGCAGCAGTGGGGGTGATCTCACTGGCGCTTCATTGTGGGGACCCCCAAACTATTCTTCAAGCTTGTGGGGGGTCCCAAGCGTAGAGGATCCACACAGAATGGGCAGCCCTGCTCCCTTACTACCTGGAGACCTTCTGGGAGGAGGGTCGGATTCAATCTGAACTTAGAACTTTCAACTCTGACCTCGTGACCTTTTTTGGAACAGCAGCAGCACTAACTTGACCTTTTCGTTTTTTTCAACTTGCAATAAATACATTTATAAAAGGAAAAAAGAAAACGGAGAAAGAAAAAAAGGTGGGTCATTGACAGACTGTCTGAGCACATAGTTGCCTCCCTTATATAACTTCAGTTTTTTCGTTTGGAATATGAATCCAAAAAGAGAACATATCACTCTTGAAATACTTGAATCGTGAACGCCAACCTAGAAAGACAATGTGAAGCAAGTACACATACCATTTAAATTTAAACAGAAAAAATTAAAAAAATTAGTTTCTAGTTTTTCACTTTTTCATGTTATACGGAAGTTGTTGCTAAGAAACATATATACTGAAAAAATAGCTTTTTAACTTTGTTTGCACTGGGTGTGTTTCCGTCCTTAGGTCTACCATGTTGGGTTGGGATAGGGGAGGGGTTCAAAAGAATAAGGGGAGGGAGGGGAAGACTTGACGGAGCCTCACTTAAAAAACAACAAAAAAAAAAAAGAAAAAAAAACTTAAAAAAAACCTTAAAAATTAAAAACCCATAAAAAAACCAAAACCTAAAAAACAAACAAAACAAAAAAACCAACACTTTGTGATTGGCTGGTTGATAAGTACCAGTGTGTTCTGGCACATGTAACTGCCCACGTGTGCTTGTTTCTGTGTGGGTGCGTGTGCACATGTTTGTGTGTGTGCATTTTTTTCTCTCTATATATAATCTTGAAACGCTGCATTGCTGATGGTCTACAGGCTGGCTGGCCATCTGCATGTCTTGATTCTGAAAGCAAGACAGGCATGGTGGAGTCCCTGTGGCTGAAGCAGAATCCAGTTGGGCTGGATTAAAATTTRTCAGTAGGTTTTTAAAAATTCATTTTAGCAGGGTGCTGTCTGAAATCTGCAGATCATACAGAGTGGATAGTTGCTTCCTAGCCCTCATTCTTAACCTGTGATAGAGCAGAACACTGCCATATCCAAAGGATTTGGTGAGAAGAGAGACAGTGCTGTCTTTTGAGTAACAGTGTCTTTATTTATGTCTGCATGTGGAGTTTTCGTACTGAATGAACCCTAGAGTGTTTGTTATATAATGCAAGCCATTTATTTCTTCAAACAAGGGGAAAAGAGGAGGAAAGAAGACATTGCCATTATTTGTGCAGCTAGACAAATGTTCTTATTCAGTCTCTTGCAAGCTTCAGTACCTTAAAGAAAAAACGTTTCTGTTCTCCCCCAAACCTAAATAAGCACCCGTACTCATTCTAGAGGAATCCATCAAAAACTTGAAAATCCAGCCCAACCAAATTAGCCTTTTAATTGATTTACTGCTTGTATTAAAACTGACAAAAAGCTTAATAGTGTCAGCAAAGTGCTGGCCGGCCTGCCTCATCTCCTGAAAGCACATGCAGCTAACTCCTTCCTGCGTCCTTCATGGTGAGCGTTACCTGTGCCAGGCCTTGGTGCCATTACAGCGCCAGACCATCACTGACAGAAACGTTTACTTACGAATGTTCTTAAACCAGTGTGTACTTCAAAGGTTTCCTTTTGTTTCTCTGTGTTGTGTCTTTTCCTGTGTACGTGGTTTTGCTTAGGGAGGTATATAACTAGCAAAGACTTTTTTTTAAAAAAAAGTATTGCACCTTTTTATTTTTTGTTTTTACTTTTTTTTCTGTACTGTTGCTTTTTAATTTCTGTATTTAAGGAAAGGTTTGGGGTTTTTTAGCATCAGTGTAGTAGTACTCTGGGCAGGATAGGGGTGACCTGTAATCCACAGTGATAGCCAGTGTGTGCGTGCCTGTGTGCACTGGGAACCAAACTTTTAAGACCTGTTGTTATGAAAAGAGTTGTAGCAGACTTGAAGCAACATCCCTTAACACAAAGCATGGAGTYTTTTGTGGGAGTGAGGCCGGGGGAAGAGGGAGGAGAGATGCCGGTACTTTTTCCATGAGTGCTAGGACTTCCATGCAGCGTTGTCCAGCTGTTATACTGTCTAACCAAGTGCCGACATTCTGTACCAGCACATATCTGTCCATTCCAGCCCTCAGAGGGAGCAGTGCTTTATCACCTGGCAGAGGGGGGCAGATAGGGAAGTCTGTTTCTTCAGCATTTTCATTGAAGAATACRACCATGTCCAAAACATTTAACTCATGGGTTTGGTGGGGGGAAGCAAAAACAGATGCAAGTAATAGCAGGGAGGTGTGTGCGCGTGTGTGTGCCTGTGTGCTGCGTGGGGAGGGAAGGGCTAGGGAATACCATGGCTCTTCTATTTAATTCACCCTTTCTGTGTAAACCCAATGTCACAAGGAAGACTGACTGATGGAAATGCTGCATTTACACATGCCTGTAGATTGCATACACCTTGTATGCAAAGCGTTATGTGTAAAAAAGTATGAATAGATTCGTATTTGTTTAGTAAATTGGTGTGTGCAGCATACTCTGGCCCCTTCGGAATATATTTTCCTATCATATCTCCTCCATCTATCCCACCATGCACAAAGAAACAAAATGCTCTCTTTCAGTTCTTGCTAGCTGGCTAGTGCCYGTCATGTGCAGGTGTCTGTACGGCTTTGTTTCTCCTCAAAGACCAAGCGCACTCAGACATGCAGAGCAGGTTCTTAAAAGTCCTGTGCCAGCAGTACTTCCTAGTGAAGCACCTTTGGCCTGAGCAAGCCAGTATCTGGTCTGTCACATGATTTGTTATACATGCTGGTTCATTGCTGTGTTCCACCTTCACTTCTCTCTCCCAGCCTGCCCTAAGGTTCCTTTTCCTGCACTTTGGGCAAGTTGAGTTCATTGCGATACTACGGTGAAAGCCGGGTGCTAGAGCCCCTCTTGTTTACAAGACATAATGAGGGATTTGAAATATTTAAAAAGAAAAGCTAAATTGTTCTTCCATTGTAAGCTTAAAGGGAAAAAAAAATTAAAACGTAAAAAAAAAAAAAAAAAAAAAAAAAAAAAAAAAAAAAAAAAAAAAAAAAAAAAAAAAAAGACCAAAAAGTGCATATATATATTTTAGATGAAGACTAACTCTGGGAGCATTTAACAGTGTTTTTGTTTTTATTTTAACATTTTATTTTCCTGCTTTAAATTTGCAAGCATTCTCAGGAATTCTAGGGTAGGAAGCCAGTTTTTTGAAGATGGTTTATTTAACCTTATCTTATCCTAGATAGATGGCTGTTTCTTGTTGATAAACTTTTACAAGTTCCTGAATCTTCAAAATGTTTGAAAGTTTTTACTTTAAAATAAAAATGCTAAAAAAAAAAAAAATTAAAAAAATCTCCAAATGTTACTGTCAAGCAAGGGATCAAGAGTTTTAAAGACTTTCTAAATTAAGATACMTAAAGAAAACTTGTCAATATCAGCAACAGGAATTCATTGCAATCTTAAATAAGTTGTGGAAGAAGGGTTATCATTTATAGTGCTTTGTTACTCATGCAGATATGTGTAGTTGCATGGAGAAGAGCAGTGTGTGAATGGAAATCCACTATTCCCTCTCAATTGAAACTAAACAAAAATATTCTTCCAAGCACCTTTTTTAAAGCAGAGTGAAAGTATAAACCTTATTAAAATGCAAAAAAAGTAGAGCTTAACTGAAAGAATCCTCGATTAGGAGGACTAGCAGGAAATACATGATGGTGCTTTTTTGARCCACTTCTAAGCAGTGCTAAAGAAAACCAGTGCTGACAGAATACTCAGTAATGAAGTAATTTTATTAATCTGCCTTTTTCAGTACAGAAAAAAAGAATATGGAAAAATTTGATGAAAATATACATTGGAAATCAACTTTTCTGTCTTCAGCTATTTGGTCAGTTTAATTCCCCACTTGGAGATTTGCTGCTTGCTATTCTTCATCCTCCCCACCTCCCAGTCCTTCTGTTTCATTTTATATGAGGGAAATAGCTGTTAAACTCCTCTGTTCACCCTGTTGCTGTTGGCTGTCAGGGCTTACAGTCTTGACCTTCAGAGTTCGGTGTTGGGATGGCCAACTTCAGCCTCCCAGCTCTAAGGGTCAGGGGCTTACTCCACCTGAAACAGCTCGGCTCAAACCACAAAAACCACACTAGTGCCTTGTTACATGCACCCGCATGCCCTACAGTAGGTGAGGGGAGGGAAGACGAGGCAAAGTGAGGCAGCATAGCCACTTCATGGAAATAGATATACCCATTCTTAAGGGAAAAAGAGCATGCCGCATAAACAAGTCGTGCAATGAATTACTTAATGGTAGTTGAGATAAGTTATTATTATTAAAAGAAGAAATCAGATGCCAAATTGTCTTTCTTATAGCAGTTGCCCAGTGTTCTCATGTTGTGCTGTGTGTGCATGTGAGTCTGTTGACAATAATGCATCAGTAGTAATAATAATGTGCTTTAAAAATCCTGTCATGGGCCAGTAGAAGGAGGGTTTACTTAGAAAGTTTAGGGTTTTGTTTTGTTTTGTTCTAATGAGGGATTTTAAGTGCTTTGTCAGAAGCTGTGTTTATCAGATCAGCAGTGTCCTAAAAGAGAGGAAACCGTAGCATTTAGTCAAAAAAAGCCAACAGACTTGACATTCACTTGGAAGTGGACTGTGACTGACTGCTGAAGGGTTGACAGTCTTAAGTTTCAGCAGTCTGCTGGGTCCAAACCTATAGTAGTACAACAGTCTGCTCCTCATTTCCTCAGTGTGCATCCTGTAAGTGTTAGTGACTGTCTCCTCAGTGACAGTTTCCCTGCTTTGTCAAAGTAATATTAATCTATTTTTTCCAGCTGCAGTTGACAGATCTTTATGGCTTAGTCATCGCACTTCTAACCATTGCAAGTGGTGTCTGAGCATTGTGCTCGCCAGACTCAACTGCTGGGGACAACCATTGCTTAATGTTGTAAAAATCCTGCTACCATTTGAGCTCCTAATAGCAAAAAGTCAGCAGGAGTTGCTGTTAGGGTACTTCTGGGCTTTTACAAAAYGGTTGCAGGGAGGGAGTCCATGGCAGCATCTTTTTTAAACATGTTGGCACGGTCAGGAGAAGAGGCTGGGGAAAGCCCAGTTTAGAGCAGACTATGAGCATCTTTCCAGATAAAAATCCACCTACTTTGCCTACCCTACCTTGCAATGTCTATCAAGCTTAGAATTTTTTATCTGTTTGATAATTCTTTGCTCAATTTGAGGATTTCATCTTAGCAGTGACAGTTCAGAAACCTGTGTTTAGACTTACAACATTTACTTTGAAATACTTGCCATCTTTTCCCAGTTTTCTTCCTAAAAACGCTGCCACATCTTCCACTGTGTCCTAATAGTGAATCCAAATAGTGTACTGTAGGTTTTTGGGGGGAGGTTTTGGTTAGGTTGGGGGTTTTGCTTCGTTCCTTATTATGTTTAACTCAACTTTCTGATTTTGTTTGTGCATATTTTTTTCCTGTTGACTTCAAGAGGAGCACTGTTTGTGTATCTGAGGTACCCAAATTTGACCAAGCTTGGTCAAGGAAATCAGCTGGATCAGGGTCAGCATAGCAGATGAGGACCTGCTGTATTTCCAGTGAGTGTTGCATATATCACCTTCACTGTAAATCATGTGATCTTAGTATCCAGGTTCTCAAGTGGATTGAAATGCAGGTTTTGTGGAGGCTAGTTAACATCTCAGGGTAAATAGTCCTGACTGAGTAGAAGGTAGGGGTTTTTTTATAAAGATGTAAGGTTCCCTTAACAGAAGCAGCTTTCTTAATTGTAAATATGCATGCATGCTTTGTGGGCAGGAAAGTAATACCAAGGCAACTATGTTGAAATTAATTAAAAAAAAATCCAATAAACAAATGCTGTTGAAGTGCAACTTTGGTCCTGAATCTGAAGCAACATGTACAGAATCTGTTGGTTTGTCTAAATTGATTTTGCATACAATAGCATTTCAGTTCTGAAACTTATTTGCCACTGTTTTGCAGTTTTAGGAACTGATAGTGTTAGATCGTAATCAGTCATTCCCACTGTGATCAAAGTACAGATATCTAAAACCCAAACTCTTTCTTTCCTTTTACCTCCAGTACTAGGCTTCCACCTATGGCAGGAGGATGTTAACAGTAATAGGGAGAAATATGTGAAATTTCCCAATGTAGACAGAGCTGGTACTCCCKGTGGACCTCAATTCACATCCAAACCTAAATCACAAAGCAACAGTTAGGTTGTAGCAGAACTATTGGTTGGACTAAACGACAGGAGCCAAACTGGAGATTTTTAGCAGCCTTACTGGTTCATATCCTTCACAATGTTTTGCATAAGTGTCCCATTACTGTAAATATTGGTGTTGCTGAATTTTACCAAAGTTCCCCTGCAGTAGATAATAGGAAACAGGTCCATTTTGTAGTGACCCACCAGCCAGAGTTTTGCCTACAGTAGATTTTAAGGGTCTGTCTACGTTGCTGTTAAAATTGAGTCTGGGTCCTGTTTAAAATTACAGCTCTCTATCTTGTGGTGTTACGTGACTTTCAGCTTCGTTGTGTAGTAACTGTAGCTTCTGATTCTTGTATGAAAAGTGATTTAAGGTTTCATCTGTGCTACAAAAAGCGCTACAGCTCCTGGTGGGTTGGAGCCTACTTTTAAAACTTGCCAGGSCACTGTAGATGCAGTTTCATCTGTAGCAGGCAGCAGACAACATCTGTTACAGTTTGCCTGTGTGTTACTTTTCATTGAGCTATGCAGGAAAGCTTTTCTSTAGAAGTCTCCCAGAGTCCTTGCAAGCTTCTAGCAAATCAAGTGCCCTCTGCAAAAGAGCCGTTTTTGCCCTGTATGTGTGACAGTTGGGACTGGTGACATTCAGCAGTATTAGGGTTCCTGTTAACTTTGTAGAGAGAAAGGGAGTTTGACTTGACTCTGACAGCCCTTCTGTAAAGTAATACAGAGTACTCCAGGGAAAAAGAACAACAAAAAAAGGGAAGAATGCCTTGTGCCAGCCAGCGTTAAGTATTTAAGTATTTTTAGCAGCAAACATGCTTGACTGTGGTGGGCAGAGGGGAAGAGACTGGAGAATTTTGCATGAATGCGCAAAGGAGGCTGTGTTTGGCAAGAAATGTTTCCTTGAGCACTAAATGCCTCTTCTTGGCTGTTGGTGTGTTTTGTTACGTTCTCAGAACTAACTTCCTCATTTTTTCAATGTTTGTTTTTATTAATTGAGATGAAGTGGAAGCTCCTCCTGTTTCAGATGAGACACAACCAACCATAAGTGATCATTTTCTTCATCATTTACTGTTGAGCAGGTTGCACAGCTTGTTAGAATAGCTATTTTAGTGACATGGTTATGATATTATGTGCTTTCTTTCCCCTCCCTCTCCTTGCCAGATATGGCTTACCCTTTCTATATAAGGCGCTGTGTGGGTTTTTTTGTTTTGTTTTGGGAACATGTGAAGAAGAAGCAAAATGAAGCAAAAATGCAAGCCAAGGTAAACAGCCTTACTTTAGAGGGTAGCCTTACAACAGAGCTTTATAGTGAGTGTGCTGTATTCCAAAATATGTAAGCCAAAAACAAACAAAAAAAAAGCATTCATTTATGCAAAAAAATTTAAAAGAGGTGTTAGAAGACTTCTTTAATATGTACCTTCTAAAGGTGGAGTAAGGTCTCACCAAGTGATACATTATTGTGATACTTCTTGCTGGGTCAGTTGGAATGGGTTGGGGTATAAGCGCTTAACATTTCCTCCTATGTTTTTACAAGCAGTAAGTTAAATGTGGTATTTATGAATGTGCCTTTGTGAGTATAGTGACTGTCTAATTGAGGAGACCGCTTGGGCTGGAGGGGAGACAATGGTCAATTTATTCTCTCAAGAGGTCAGACATTGAAATGGCAGCCCACTGGTCCCTTTTTGACAAGCAGCATCTTTGGCTGGTCTCTACACTGCACAATACGTATTCATATGTGGTAGAGATTGGGGTGGGGGGTGCAAAGGGATGTCATGTGATGCACAGAAGCTGTTGATAGTTTTAGGCTAGTCTGCCACTGCAGGTTGAGTTTGTGTATGTAATATGTGGCTTCTCTTTCTGTTTGTGTGCATGAGTGTGAGTGCGTGTGGCTTTGGTTTTTTATAAGCACTGGAGAATTGAAACACAATGATGTTTGAGACAAATTTATACATGTAGAGAAGATGATGTTTTGTAGCTTCTGTTAAATAGTGGGTGCAGGCACACTTTTACCCTCTCTGCCCGTGTCCTAATAAGCAAAACAGAAATTTTTTTTCAACCCTTCAACTTCCAGCACACTTAATGTTGCCATTTAAATAAGCAGGGTATTACACAAGAAGTAAAAAAGAGTTTTTGAAATGGTGAGGTAGAAGTGTTTAAAAAGAAAAAATCTGAAGTAATTTTTTGTTTCTTCAAAACTGTTTGTAGCTAAACATGGGAATCTGCAGTGTCTCCTTCCATTTGTTTTTTTTTTTCCTAATAATTCACCTCTTTGTCCCACCCAAAATATGAGGTGTACAAGATCAAGAGCTGTTGTTGTAGCGCTTTGTAATTCCCACCCTGAAAAGAAACTCCAGTGGGATCCCTCAGCTCTATTCAGGAAGACAAAGAGAGGAGAGACTCTGCAGTTTTCTTTGCTTCGCTCTCATTCCTCTCTAATGGCCTTGAAATGTATTATTATGCAAATGTGAATTTTGATACTGAACTTAAGAAGAGGTTGTTTGTTCTTTTTTCAAAAAAAAAAAAAAAAAGGTCCCATATGTGGTCAGCATTGCTTCTTTATTTTGTAAGTGAATTGTAAACTATGCATTCTGCAAAGGGGGTGTAGGGGACAAAGATACTTTGGTAAACTGTTCAGGAGTTTCTGTGTCCATGGCATACCTAATATAGTTTGGGGAAGTAGGGAAGTGATAACTTTGAAATAAGGAATCGATAAGAACCTTTCTTTTGTCAGAAGCTGGCCAGTAGATAACTGGGCAGAGATTTGAATAACTGATGTTGGCTGCAAAACAAAATCAGCTCTCAGCCTTGCACAAGGCTGTGAATTCAGCCACACAGTGTTAACGTGGGGCCAAAAGTGTGAATGGGACACCAGATCTAACTGGGGAGCTATCTACCACCTCYTGTGCTCTGGCCCTTGTTAAGCTCAGGAAACCCACTGCCACAGGCACTGGGGTTTTTTGGATTTACTACTCATTTCAGCAATCGTTATGCTCTTCCAGGAGAATTGGAACATGGCTGGTCCTGGATATCTTCCTTATCCTTAAAATTTTCATTGCTGCTATTTCTGGCACAGGTCATACAGTGACAACACAGCTGTGGGCAAGATGGTGGAGATGGTACTTACTTTCTAGTGCTGATCAAAGCCCAGCTATGAGCTCTGTGTTTTTACAACATCAGCAGCTACCAGTGTTTTGTTGTCTGGTGTTGCTGCCAGTGATTTATCACTGATGTTGTCAGTGTGTGAAATGTTAGGGAAAAGAGACTGATATGTAGGCCAGGTCCTCTCAATTTAAAAGAAACTATCCTATTTTTATTGTAAGATGATATCATAGTAGTCATTAAAAAGTATTTACTTCCTCACATCTCCAAAATGCAGTCATTGTGAATTATGTGCATTCCTTGAAGCTTGCTGAGCTTCCAGGAAGAGTCTCCTTCAGAAAAAATATAGATCTCATTGCTCTCTCTCATTCTAATAGGGACCTTTTGACTTTTTCCTTTGTCCATGGTTAACCATGGTACCTGCATTATCCTTGGCATTATCTTAGGTGTAATATCATAAACTGAGATATTATCCTGCCTGTATTCAGTGTTTTCATGCAGCAATGTTATTTTTTTGACATTCACAGTACTGTAATAAGTAATAGACTTGATCATCAATCTTGCATCTGTGCCTGCCTTGCAGATGTGATTTTATCAGGGTTCCACTCAGTCAGAATGCCTTTGAAAAAAAAATTAAAAAAAAAAATCAGAAGTTTAAACTCATTCACAAAAATACCTCGTGGTACATTTCCCTTCTGATGAAACCTTTTAAATCTTAGCTTTTCTTCTAAACTTGATGGGTGTTTATTTCCATCTGTTATCTCCTTTGTAAAAAGATATTTGAACTAGTGGTTTTGAGCACAGRTTTGGAAGCCTGGAACTCCTGAATTTTAACATTGGCCATTACTCTTCCCTTGCCTTGGGCAAGTCATTGTACTACTTTGCCTTTGTTTTTTCATCTGTCAAGTGGGGTTGTTAATACTTACCTACCTCACAGGGGTTTTGTGAGGATCAACTAGTAGTGTTTGTCAAGTGCTTTAAAGAAAAGAGCATGATAGAAGTATTAAGAGGTTTTCACAGCAAGATCACTAGTACTTTTTACATTGTTTGCTTGTATGGAGGGAGATAGCTTTTTTTTTTTAATCACTGAAGCCATCAGACACTCAGATCCTAAATTATAGCAGTTGATAGAGACTCAGTTACTCATACTCCTCAGTGTTTATGCCTGTTTCCTTATTCTTCTTTATGTTGTTATGCCAGTGTTGCTACAGGTCACATGTCTGCAGTACTTTCAGATAAGCTTCAAAATTGAAGTACTTTGAGCTTGCTGCTTCTTTCACCAGACCACCAAATCAGAGTGAGTTTGTGTTCTTCTCCCTGCCATTAAATGGCAGTTTTYGTAATGTCATCATTAAAGTAGACACATCTTTTCTTGTCCTCAGGAAGGGGAGGTGGTGGTGTGTAGTTCCAGAGAGGGGACTGTAAGATGAAGAGCCTGGCCACTTTATGCTGCTGCTCCAGGGATAAAGGGCAAAGTAGCTTTCTGTGTCCTTCCCTGAGTTAATTTCAGTGTGTTACCAGTCACACTTCAAATGCAGTGTCTCTTCTTGTCCACAATATACAGAAGCTATCACCTGCCAATAAAATGTAGGAACAGAGAGAATGATTGTAGATGCTGCTTATGTATATGCCTTACAGCTCTCCCAGAATGTCTCTGGGAGGGTGGTGCGGGAAGAGGTCTTCATTGGGTAAATCCCACAGCTGTCAGGGAATCTCTGCTACTTTCTCCCCTCTTTATCACATGGTCACTGTTTCTTCTTTCTTGGATGTGCGTCTCAGGGATGTGAAAATGAGCCCATGCCTCTTGGAATTTGGCATTTGAAATATCAAGAATATGGTTTCCGTACCTGAAACCTTTCTGTCTAACACTCCCTGGTTCTCTCTGTCCTGCCTTGCTCCCTGTGGCCTTAGGAACATCTCTCCACTGTTACCCTATGCCACCCTCTCCGTCTCTGCCAGTAATCAATGTGAAGTGTATACAGTGATTCTGCAGAGAAAGAAGCTGAAGTGATGCATGTGCACCTGTGGGATTTACACACTTAGGTATCTTGGTTCTCTGCCGCATCTTCTCTAAAACCTGCAGCACATCTGATGCACAGTGCTTTTTCTTTCTCATTTAGAAAGCAGAACAAACAGCAGTATAACTCTGACAATGGTAATTCTGTAATGTTTACTTTGAACTAAATGCTAAGTATTTTCCTCAAAGAACCAAAARAACCCCACCTTCTAACAAAAGTAACCAAATGTAATCTTCCTGGGTGCGGAAGAGGAAAGTGGAGGAGGAAAAGCAGTGACAGGGGAGCGTTCTGATATATTTTCATCTCCACTGCATGGCTGGAGATGTGAAATGCTGCTTTGAGTTCCACAAACATAAGGGATTATGTTTACAAAGGTAAATGCCTTCTACCTGTTCAGGAAACTGGCTACTGGTGGGCATCGGGAGTTTGCAAGTTTCTCTTCATTGCAAACAAGTAATGGGAGAAGGGTGTATCTGGAAGAGGAATGGAGAAACAGAGTCATTTCATCTAGTCTTGGTAAAGTAATGCCACCTTCTTCTCTCATTGTAGAATGGAGGGTGCAGGTGGCAGAACAGAAAGTCAATGATGTCCAATATGGCTGGATTAGAAAAGGCAGCTTTTCTACTTTGCACATAAATAGGTAACAGGAAGGTACAGCTAAAGTCCTCTTGCCTGAAACACTGTCCCCCAGAAGCAGACGTAGTAATAATAAAAATAGTGGCTGTGTGTATATTGATGCTATTTCCAAGTTACCTTTAAGTGTTTATTTTTTTTTCTTATACTTGAAATGGCTTCCTTTACTAAACTATTACCATAGTTCTGGTTTCTCCCCTCCTTCTGTAGTGTGCAGTAAAGAAAATTACAGGACAAATGGGGAGAAGGTAGAGGAGATGACACAATGACTTGCATATCCAGGTTTCATTTTGATTTCCATCCCATAGTCTCAGAAATGTTTGAACTTCCTAAGGGTTTTCCATGGACACAGAAACTCAGCACTTTAGAAGGTGCTTTGTAAGGCTGGCTTCCCCCTTTTCCTCCTTTTCTATTTTTTATTTTTCTTTTAGTATAGTGGTACTTAAGATCACTGGTTCACTTAAAAAGAAAAAAAAAACCAATAAAATGTTTAAACTCTACTAATGTACAAATAAGCTGAAATGTTGCATTTTATGTGTATTTTTGCCATAGCAGGTACTGTATTTCTCATGCTGGATTTAGAAAAAAAAAAAAAAAAACTAATGTACAAATAAGCTGAAATGTTGCATTTTATGTGTATTTTTGCCATAGCAGGTACTGTATTTCTCATGCTGGATTTAGAAAAAAAAAAAAAAAAAAAA